GTGGTGTTTCTCGACGACTATGTCGGGTCGACGCACAAGACGGGCGGCACCAACTGGCGTCGCGAACGCGACCTCCAGCTCGAGTGGTTCCAAAGCGACTTGGGTCAAGTCGACCGAAAGAAGACGCCGTATGTGATTGTCGTCAAGCACAATCCGTTCTACAACACGTACGAGGACCACCAGTGCATTTGTGGCTCGACACGGTTTGAGACTGAAGACGTCGAGTCGTGCTGGGGCGGCGACTACACGCGCGCCAAGTCGGAGCCCCACTGCGGCCTCCAGGCCAAGTTGGAAGATGTGTACGCTCAGTACAAGGTCAACGTGGTCTTTGCGGGCCATGCCCACGGCTACGAGCGCTCCAAGCCCGTTTTGAAGAACAAGGTCGACCGGAACGGCGTCGTGTACGTGACGACGGGTGCGGGTGGGCGCGGCCATGCCGGCAGCCGCATCGATTCGATTCCCGATTGGTCGGCGTTTGCCGAAGGTGACGTCTACGGTGCGTCACGCCTGATTGCGACGCGTGAGAAGATGCAAGTGCTCTGGTTCAGCGACGACGACACGACGACGCCGCTGGATTCGTTTGAGATTGCGCCGTTGCAGTAGAGCGCTTATGATGCGCCGTGTGTGCTGATGCCACCTGCCATGTACTGTGCCAAGTGGAATGTGAATATATGTTGCTTCTAAAGTCTTGTGGTCTTCCATCGTTGGAGCCCATCACGTCTGGTGTTCGCCTCCCGATCGGGCTTGGATCCAAAGCGAGGATGTGATTCGCTGAAAAGAACCAATCAGACTGCCAAACGCTTTTGGTGGACCAATTGGATGCCAGCTGTATCATACATGTGTTCGATATCATTGGAATTGTATGCTCGGACACGTGATTTGTTTTAAACACAAGCATATGGTGATCTTTTCAGGGACATAGGCGGCAAGTTCAGCAAGCGACAGTATTGCTCAGAGCCTCGCAGCAGCTTTGAAGCGCCCGTGCCTTAGATCTCTGACGCTCACAAGAGCGCAGAATGTCTCCATCAGCACCGTGTGCTCTTGGGAACGCGGTAGTCTTTCGTTGCAACCAGCAACTGGTCGGGTCGTTTTCTGATTGCTACGGGCCGCCATCGACACGGTTTGTGCGTTGCTCAGAAGGAAAGAAGGGACATCAAGTTGTTTGACGTTTGCTGAAAGGGGCAACTGCGCGGCTGTCGCAGGCGTTGTGGCCAAGTGTTTGGCCATTGGAGTTGGTACACTGACTGTACGTGGTTGGGCGGGTTTTTCTTGCTACGCAGCTCGACAACGCTGCACATATGAGCGCCAAGATCGTCGTGAGCGACGTACATTTCGCTGTTGTGTGTTGCCTGCGAGAACTCTATCGGGACGTTTGTTGGCAAGTGCTTTGTCTGCAGAAGTCCCCAGGTACGAAAATAACCCTGCGCTTGGACCATGCCCAGTCGCCGCCGCACCAACGACTGTAGCTTCTTGATTGCTTCCGTGCTCAGCCTTTGAGAGGAGTGAACGATGAACCGGTTCGCGTACCATTGCCGACATCTAACTGCACAACACCAACAACTTCACATGCTGTGTGCATGCACATTCTAGGCAACGTCAACACCAAGACCTCATATATATTTGCGCTGCATTGTCGACATGGCCGTCCAAACACAGTCCCCGATATGTCCTGGTCCACTCACACTGGTACTGAGTATGCACCATACCGTAGTAGAAGTGAAGTCTGTAGTAGAGTTCGACTGACTGCATGCGATCGAGCCTTGCCCCTGCGACGACGTCGTACGAGCCTTCGCCGAGCCGACTCCCATGCTGTTATACCATACCGAAGAAGCAAGTCAATTATAGAAAAAGGTTTATACACGCAATGGTGGCATTCTCCGCCGCAACCCTGGCAACAACCGCCAGCGCCAGTTTCCCGCGAAATTCGCTTAACAAGTACATCCCGCCTATCATCTTCGTGTTGCACCTCTAAGTCCGTCTGTCGCCACTCAGGTTCCGGTAAAGTGCGCTTTGCCAAGTAAAAATACGAAACGTCTCGCTTAAGTGCGTCGTCGAAAGGCGGCAGGTTGGTCGCAGTCGCCGGACGCCATGCACTCGCCACTCTTGACTGCGAATTCCGTCCCGGACGGAGAAGCCAGGATGGAGACTCTGCCACTGGACCCAATGACCGGCGCGACGACGTACGATGCCACGCCCGACCCGCTTACGCTGGTCGCCAACGCCAAGACGGCGGCGACGCGCCTCGAGAAGGCGCCGACCGTCCACGTCGTCCAAGTCGACCGCGTCAAGCAGTGGTTCTACGAATTCAACCTCTACACGATCGAGGTAGGCGCTCTTCGGTACCTGTCGACTCAAGCGCGTGTGATCTAGCTGCGCGTCGACGGCCTCGTGTGGCGCATCCGCACGACCACGCATCGCATGCTGCGATTGCATCTGACGCTCCAGCGCGTGCTCCGGTTCTCGCAAATCTTTACCTTTCCGTCGCGCTTGCTGGGCTACCGCAGCGTGACCATGGGCGCGTCGTCGATCCCGATCCTCGAGCGGTACCTGACGTCGCTCCTCGCCCACGACAGCGTGCGCAACCACGACAAGATGCTCGAGTTTCTCGAGCTCGGCGCGCTGCGCTTCAGCGCCGAGTACGCCACGTCGTTTTCTCTATGGGTCTCAAGTTGGTATCGCATATAGGTACGGCCACAGCATCATTGAAGGCTGGGTCAAGATGCGCTACGTACCGTCGCGCAAGGGCACGCTCCACGGCCGGTCGAGTTTTGTGGGGTTCCACTTCACCAAGGACAACTTGATTCGCGTCGCTGAGATCCTCCTCGTGCTCTTCTTTTGCGTCGCGATCCCGATTCTCTCGTTCAAGCTCTGCGTGCACTTTACGCACGCCGGGTCGGTCGTCATGCTCGATGACGAGTACGTCGTCATCGCGTCCCTCTTCTCGGTGCTGCCCGGCATCTACTTTATCGCAATTTGCTACCAGTACCTCCTCCGCCACAAGCGCTGGATGGTCGTCAAGCCCACGTGCGTTGCGTTCTTTGACGATTTAAACGACACGGAGCCGCGCGAAGTCATTCTCTTCCAGCCGCACGTCGCGGTCACCAAGAGCTCGCTCCTCAAGCACGGTTTGCACTGGATGGTCGACGGCCTCCATGTCGTGACGCCCGGCGCGCTCCTCGAGATCGACATGAAGAGTCACCCGAATTGGCATCATCTTGAGACGATCCTCGTCGACACGATGAACGCGTGCGAGTTTACCGACAACGACACGCACCGCTACACGTCGTTTGCGCCCGAGCGCCCGGCCGTGGGTATGTCATCGTGACAGAAACGTGCGATGACGTGATCGGCATTTCTATTTTTAGGTTCGGACATGATGAGCATGGCGCGGCACCTCGTCGATGGCGCCGAGACGTTTGCCAACATGGTGACGCACCTCCGTCTGGCAGAGAAGCAGGTGTTTATCTCGGGCTGGTGGATCACGCCCAACTACCCAATGCTGCGCGGCGACGAGCTCACCAAGCTCGACAAGTATCGTGTTGCGAGGTTTGGACATGTTGTCTGATAGTATCGGTAGCGTCTTGCTGGACATTGCGGTGCGCGGCGTGCAAGTGTACATTCTTGTGTACAAGGAGCACCGGATGTTTCTTCCGAACGACTCGCTCTTCACGAAAGACCATTTGCACCAGCTCCACCCGCGTATCCACGTGCTCCGGCACCCGGACTTTGTGTTGCTGCCGCAGTACTGGTCGCACCACGAGAAGATTGTTGTGATCGACCAGCAAGTCGCGTTTGTGGGCGGTCTCGACATTTGCCTCGGCCGGTACGAGTGCCCGACCTGGTATTCGAGTGGTCAACTTGTCCTACTTAGGTATGACAACCCGTCGCACCCGCTCGCCGACACGACGCGCAACCCGCTTTTTGTCGGGAAAGACTACTCGAACCCGCGTCTCAAGGACTTTACCGACGTCATCAACGGCGATACGGACCTCGTTGACCGCCAAACGCAGCCGCGCATGCCGTGGCACGACGTGCACTGCCGGTCCAAACCGAATCAAAACGACAACTTGTCTGATATCTATGTAGCCTCGAAGGTCTAGCGGCCATGGACGTGGCGCGTCATTTCATTCATCGCTGGAACTTTACTCTGCAGAAAAAGTACATTGCGATGTTCAACCGCCGCCGCCCCAAGTACCGCCGCCCGGCGCTCCTCCCCAAGGTCCACGTGCCGAGCAAGGGCCTTCAGCGCTCGGCGAGCCTCGAAGACTGCGAGACCGGGACGATCGCGCGCTGGATGCCGATGGCCGAGCCGTATGCGGCCGCGTGCCACTGCCAGATCGTGCGCAGCATGAGTCCGTGGTCGGGCGGTGTCAAGACCGAGCACAGTATCCAGAACGCGTACATTGCGATGATTACGGCGGCGCAGCACTTTTTGTACATCGAGGTCTGTCCACTTCGATTGGTTTGTCATGCTGACACTGCCTGGTGGTAGAACCAATTCTTTGTCTCGGGCTTTGAGAACGACATGAGCGTCTCGAACCGCATCCTCGAGGCGCTCTACAAGCGCATTCTGCGCGCGTTTGAGCAAAAGGAGACCTTCCGCGTCGTCGTCGTGCTGCCGCTCATGCCGGCGTTTGAAGGCGCCGTGACATCCAAAGACTCGTCCAGCCTCCGCGCCGTCATGCACTGGCAGGTACCTCAAGGTTCTTGTGCTTGGACCATGTTTCATACATGTGTACTGCCTAGTACACGACGATCTGTCGTGGCGGCAACTCGCTCATCGAGCGTTTGCGCGCGAAAATGCCCGACCCGCACAAGTACATTGCGTTCTTTGGTTTGCGGCAGCACGAAGTACTCGCGGGGAATGCGGTCACGGAGCAGATCTACATCCACAGCAAGCTCATGATTGCCGACGACAAGGTCACGATCATGGGTATGTCACGCTGACAAGCCTACGTCACATGACGTGATCGTGATTAGGCTCGGCCAACTTGAACGACCGCAGCATGTGCGGCGACCGCGACTCGGAGATTGCGGTCGTGCTCCACGACAGCGAACTCGAGACGGGCGTCTTTGATGGCAAGTGCTTTTGTGTCGGCAAGTTTGCCCACTCGCTCCGTCGTCGCTTGTACGAAGAGCACGTCGGCACCGAGCTGCCAGACCCCGTGAGCGACGAGGCATGGGCGACGTTGACGGCGGTCGCGCACGGCAACACGCAGATCTACGAGCGCGTCTTCCGCTGCTTCCCGACCGACTCGTTCCGCTCGTATTTCGAGATGAACGTACCGGAAAACCACTTGTACGAAGACGTGACTGTCATCTACGAAAACCAACGGTATACTCTGCTTCGTCATCTGGCGCTCATGCAGGGTCATAGGTATGGCTGGAAGGAAGGGTGGCAGCCCGCGGGCCTCCACGGCGGCGAAGTAGCGTCGTGGTCGGACGAGGTCGGTGCGCCCTTTGAGGACTTTCAGCCCGACCCGTCGTCGTGGCAAGTCGACAAGACGCTCGGTGCTGGCGACCGCAACGGCTGGCAGTATGCGTTCACATTCAAGAAGTTTCTGACCAACCCGGGGAAGGCCCGGGCCGAGTCGCTTTGGTACCGCTACGTGCGCCGCCGCCGCTGGGTGCTCGTGGCCGCCCAAGAGCGCAAGCAATTCCACCTCGGCCGCCAAGAGTCGAGTACGACGGACCGCGACTTGCGCTCGATCTTTCGCCAGCCGTCGGCGCGCGTCATGTCCTTCTCGGAAGACGACCTGCTCGGGCACAACCCGCAGCTCCGCGAGATGATGCAGCATGTGCCCCCCGAGGTGCACGAGCTCAAGAAGGTGAAGGGCCAGATCGTCGAGTTCCCACTCCTCTTCCTCTGCGAGTGCGATTTGCGCCCGATGATTTTGCCCAAGAATCTCTTCATCTAAGTCGACGATGGAGCGCCGACCAGGACATGGCGGCATGCATAACAAGTACATGCGTATCGTGTTTACGTGTGCTTCGTGCAAACTTGGCTCTTTCAATGGCATGTCGAGCGGACTACGGTGTTGCAGTACGGAGAGTGTGGTAGCTCCCAAGCAGCACTGCAGCCCACTTCGTACGCCTATATCGTCGGCCGTAAGCGACGTCCGTCCCAACACGCCCGCGGTGACCGAAGGAAGAAGAGCGCAACTGGTCGTTCGTTGAAGTCTTGCCACTGATACCATGATGCGACACGGCTGTGGGGCGTCGACTGTGACACCCGAATCTGATTCTGTCACGCACAGTTGAATTGCGTCATAACATTGAGAAACCGAAATGCCATGCAGTGAACCCGTCAAGAATCGCGATTCGACCCCGAATCTCGGACGCGCAACAGGCGGTGTACGCAGTACGCATGCGACACGATCTGATTTCATTTGTTGACGATGATCGCGCTGGCCTGCACGAGCAGTTGGCTCGTTGCGCCACCTCGCATGCGATATCCTCCATGCCATCACTCACCACACTCGGAGAGCCCCTGTTTAGGCTCCAACCCTCCCTTGCAGACAGTTTTGCATATAGCCTTTTCCATCGGATTCCACGGCCAAGATTCCCCGCTGTGTTCCTCGAAGAACCCGAGATGACGACAAACCCGCAAAGCCTCCCACAAATGTAGGACACGCAGCCGCCCCTTGGGTGGTGCATCCACATCAAAAGTGACCTTGCCATAGAAAGGACAAGATGTATACTGAACGCGTACCTTGGAGCGAGCGACTGCCACCCAATGCAATTGCTAGTCGCACACCAGTCTGGTTGGCACAGGATGTTTTGTCGTTGACTGAGAATCTGAGAGATTCAAGGCCTCAAGCGAGCCACCGGGGTGGGTTCGACACCCGCAAACAGCAACCCACGACCAAAGGAATCCCAGCACCGCGCCATCACGGGTGGAATGTAAGGAGGCGAAGTACTCTTGTACTGGTACTGGTACCTGTGGGGCGTCCGGGACATGCTTGGAAGCCAAGACGCGTCCCACCCTTGTGGGGGCACAGGCATCAACGAGCTCGCTGCGTTGCTGCAAAGCAGGGCCGCCTCGACTCCGCGCTATCGGACCGACAATATCAGATGTTGCAGTCGACTTGTCTGATTCCGGGCTTGTGTTAATTGTAGGCAGAACAGTTGGCGACTTCCATAAGGTTGGGATACTTCAACGGCCTTTCCCCCAACCCCTTCCCCGAACGTGCAAGCCAATCAGAGCTTGCGTACTGGCTTATAACCCGTGCTTCGCCTACGAAAAACGTTTTGGCTGGTTCGGCATCGGCGATCGACTCAGACGGTCGCTCGATTTTTGTTTTCTTGGTTTTTCGTATTGTTTTTGGCGAGGATCAAAGGCTCATATTTCATTTGTCCAGGCGACCACCACCACACTCGATCCACCATGAAGGCGACGCTCATCCTCGCTGCTTCGATCCACGCCGCTGCCGCGTTTGATTTCTACCTCCTCGCGCAAACGTGGCAGCCAGCTTTCTGCTCGACCGGCAACTTCCCCGGCTGCGACCAGCCGACGGACTTTATGACCAACCACTTGACGATCCACGGTCTCTGGCCCGAAAACACTGATGGCTCGTACCCGTCCAACTGCGACCCATCCAGCGCGCTCTCGCAAGACACGATTGATGCGATTGGTATGGACGCCATCAACCAGTACTGGCCCGACGTCAAGACCAACTACGGCACGGACTTTATCTCGAACGAGTGGGCCAAGCACGGAACGTGCAGCGGCCTCGGCCAGCTCGACTATGTCCAAGCGGTGATCGCCACGGAAAAGAAAATTGGGACGTCGACCATGATTTCGGGCAACGCCGGCAAATCCGTGGCCGCGAGCGCGATCCGCACGGCGTACGGCCAGAACATGGTGTCGCTCGTCTGCAAGAACAGCGTGCTCTCCGAAGTGCGCACGTGCTGGAGCGTCAACACCAAGACGGGCGGCGTCGGCAGCCAAATCGCATGCCCGAGCGCGATTCTCAACCAGGACACGTGCAGCCGCAAGAACGGCAAGGTCATTACGATCCCGAGCTTCTAGACGCTCGAGTGTTGAGAGCATCGTCTCTGCTTTGGTAGTGTCGACAATATGTACTACACTTTTTGTAACTGTTGTACACAATGATATTCTGTGAGACCAAATATATGTCGACGATGAATTTTGCCAGAGTTTCCTTTGGCAGACTCGATCCGGATCCGGATAAAGATTCAGCATTTTTCAAGATACGCGATCTTGAAGAGTCACACTGACCCCGCCAATGATGGAGCAACGCGGTAAAGTTTTGAAGCTGCGTCAAGGCAGACCTCGACGCGCATACCCTGCGCATAGCTACAGTAGCGAGGCTTCCATTGGGAGTAGCTTCTAAACGGAGTATCCGGCCCGCTATTGCATTCTTGAAGCACCTGGTACTAGTACACGAGCAGAGAGCCAAGCAAGAACACAACGACACAGCACCTTTTCGAGAGTTGTATATATATCGATGAGAATGGATACGATGTACTACAATTGCTCGCTCATAACATGTGTCATTGCACTGCCGTGGTGTCAACCTGCCATGAAAAACGTTAGACTTTGGCGGCCAGCTCAGCGTAACGCACCTCAAGCTTCAAGTTGCATATAGGTCGCAAGGCATTGATGACTATCGCGAGACAGTTCCCCAAAGTTTCCGAAATTCGATTGGTCATTTTATGCACACCCTAATCGTCCACGTAACTTCACGATACGAAAGAAACCCGCCATAACGGCGCTACTCCAAGAAATACAACCACTTCGCCGACCACGGACACGCTACTGACTGACGGGGCAACACAGTGTATCTGAGCGTTGGAATCACTGTGTATAGCAGACATTTTTGACCTCGTAACGGTAGTATCAAGGCCATGTACGTACAATATTGTACCTGATGCACAAAAGAAAATCACAATCGCACTTTAAAAATGGTACCAAGAGCTCCACCCGCGTCCCAGCCTCTCCACAGGTTGAACACAAGCGTTATAAGACAACAACGACCCACTCAAAACCACTTGCATAGAGTTGGACATGGGGACGCTCCATCCTGTCCATTTTACGCAAAAACCCGCGTCGTTTGACGTGGACGTTGAGATAGTAGCATTACATCCCCGTTATATCCGGTCCAAATACGCCGCCCGGTGTGTCTCTAATCATCATGAATAACTCCGGCACCACCACCAACAACGTCCTATACGATCGCCATGCTCTCGCTACGACGGTAATCACTTTAACTCTAGATAGACAATTCTCCGAGTCGATCGAAACGTGTTCGCAGCACCTGCGTGGCATCCTGAAAGCCAAAAACCAGGAAATCAAGAACGTCATTTTGATTTGAGAAAGGTCACCCACGTAGCAAATGAATGTCACCACATGACGACGTTACTACTGTCCTCAAGTCTCGCACTTCAATCGAGCACATTTTGCAATTGACACGATGCTCCGCATCACGCTCCTTGCCTTCGTTGCGTCGACTGCGCTCGCCGCCGAGCCCATCAAGATCAACGGCTGGTACTCGTGCAACGCCAAGACGTTTGCAACGCCCGTCCCGGACACGTCGGTGACCGCGGACCTCCCAGCCTTTAGCACGTCGGCCTTCTCGGCCGACACCAACGTTCTCCGATCTGTGCTCCGCCCCATCGATGCGACTTCGATTCAGAGCCTTGCGTTTGCAAGCACCAGTGCGTCGTCAGCGACCACCGAGTGTGCCGAGTTTACGCTCCCGCTCTGCTATGAAGGTGCGTGCAATACCGCCGGTTCGATTCCCGTCTTTGTCAAGCGCATGCGCGCGACGAAGCGAACGTCGTCTACCAAGGCGCTCTGGTTTCTTCAAGGCGGCCCTGGCGCGTCCTCTGTTGCGAGTACGTCTCTTTGTTTAGTCGTCCTATCTTTGTGTGGTGACTAACTAAACTGGGATTGTAGTGGAGTCGCTCATGACGCTGCTCTACTCGATGCTCAACGGCGCTGTCGACGTCTATACGATGGACCACCGAGGCACGGGTCGCAGCTACAAACTCACGTGCTCAGCGTCCCAGATTGAGACGTCGGGCAGTCCCACCAAAGGCCAAGTGCTCAACAGCGTACTCTCGACGTGCATCAAGGACATCAACATTCAGATTGGCGCCAACGACAGTACGTCTCGACACTTCTGACGACCAGTGATGGCATTGATGTATACCTCTAGCCAAGGCGCTTCGGTCCTTCTCGACGACATCGGCAGCTATGGACTTATCGACGTTGATCTCAGCGACCGAGAACGCCAACACGTTTGTGTATGGTGTGAGCTACGGCACGTACCTTGTCGAGCGCTTAATGCAGCTCGAAAATGCCAACATCAAGGGCTACATCCTCGACGGGATCGTCGCCAACTCGGGCAGCAAGGAGAACAAGCTCACGGTCTTTAACGACTGGGACAAGGAAGTCGACGAAGCAGGTATTTCTATCGCTGAATTTGACGAATGGGTGATTGACTCGTCTGTTTTAGCGCAAACGTTTGTCGATTTGTGCAAAACGGATACGTATTGCAGCAGCAAGTTTCCGACGCTGGGTACAATTTTGTCATTTCTATCATTGGCTCTGTACAAATACTAAACGAAATCGTTGTAGACCTGCGCACGACCATGGTGACAATGTACTCGACGATGGACCGGAACCCCAAGAGCTCCAAGTGTGCAATGGCACTCTCGTCGTCATCCAGCACACCGTCGGCCGTGCTTCGGTCGCTCTTCTCCGACCTCCTGCAAAGCCAGAGTCTCCGTGCTCTCATTCCGGTATCTATCTATATATTATCTATCTATCTATCTATCTATCTATCTATCTATCTATCTATCTATATATCTATCTATCTATCTATCTATCTATCTATCTATCTATCTATCTATCTATCTATATATCTATCTATCTATCTATCTATCTATCTATCTATCTATCTATCCAATTCGGTTATATTCATTCTCCACCATAGGCGCTTGTCTACCGTTTCAACCGCTGCAATCAAGCCGACATTCTTGCGATCGCCAACTTTGCCACTCAAGTTCAAAACATGTAAGTACCATTTGTGCTATGCGACAGGGCATCTTATATTTTACTGTCTAGGGGCAACACGCAGGACGAGTCGGACGGTTTTGAGTCGACAATGCTGTACAACCTCATTGTGGTGTCGGAGCTCTGGCGGACGCCCACGGAATCCTACGACACACTCAAGCAAACGTTCA